AAAATAATTTCAATTTGAGAGTAGGCTGGTAGAGATCCTGATGAATAATAAAATCGAATCGGGTATACGCGCCCCCCACTCTTGGTATTGCTTGCACACGAAAATATAGCTAATAAAAAGAGGAAGGAAAAAAACAGATCTCATAGATTAATTTACTCTAATCCTGCCTAAAAGAATTTCATGTGTCGCGGCTATTGAGGATTTCCTCTTGTTTAACGTTTGGGTATTGCATCAAAATATGATCTACAATCTAATAGTCGTTTTGGTAATGAACGTTTCCATTCTTTTCATTCGTCCATTTGAAAATGAAGTTGATATTTGTGTCTTTGAATTGAAGGACATATGAATATATATATGGAAATTTTTGTACCTTACTTAAGATGTTTTTGATTCCAAAAATTAATTTCGAAATGTAAGAACAAACAACAAATGTAAGAAACAAATATCCTCTATAAAAATGTGTTTTACAACAAAGAGGGAAGGTTTGCAGCAAAAATATTAGTCATTTGCTGTAAGTGTTTTATAGTGTATTGCAGAAAGCATTTGTGAAATAAGTCTAGAAAAAGTTTCATGCATTTGAGTTACTTCTAAAGCAACTAAGTTTGTATTTCAACGTTTTGGCTAGATCAACAGGCAATAAACGTTTTGGCGAACTCGAGATTATATTACATTGTGCTCAGTTGAAACAATAAAACTGAAATGAGTAATAAATAAATTAAAATAGAAAGCTGTTCTGGAAATAGACCAAAATTTTAGGAAAAAATAGAAATAGCTTAAAACTTGTCTTGGCTTTTTAATCAGTACGTCAGAATATCAGTTGATATTTTCCATTATATTAACAAATAAAATATAGTAGTTTTTTTTTTTCACAAATAACTTAAGTAATTCTATTTGTAGCTTCGAGAAAGAAAGTACTTGTTAAAATTTCAAATATGTCGTTCGATTAAATATTACTCCTCCAATATTTAATTTCAAATAGTAATATAATTATAAAACTTAGCTTTAAATACTTACATACTTTTGTTTTATGGTGAAATAAACTTATAAAACCATAATTATAAGACATATTATCTAATAAAAAATTGTTTTTTGTATAAATACCAGAATATGAACCGCTGACGTCACCTTAAGATTCTCTACTAGTAAAATACAAACTATATACTTTCGTTACCTGTTATTCTTATCATCTGTTACCTGTTGTTCTCGCAACATGAACGTTCATGGTTTTATATAGTTTTCATCCTATATCTGAGGATTCTAAGGTGAATACAGCGCATGCCCTGCAAGGGTTGACATTAGCGCATGAGCAATTAATTGTTTCTTACATTTGGCCTGAAAAATGATTCGCAGACAATATTTTGTGGGAAGATCCGTGAATGACAAGTATTCAAGGTTGCAGATAATGAGAAGTATTATATTTAAAAAAGCGGAACACGTGATAAATCTAATAAGAACGAATGATTTGTTTGTAATACAGATGTATAGAGTTTAGAATATAATTGATTTAATGCAGCAAGTATTATCAATCATTATTTACATTGAAATACATTATTCTCATAATCTAAGAAAAGGTTTTAATTACTACAAAAACATCACGTGACTTAATTGTCACTCGTCAGAAAATTATAATTATTTTCACTTAAGGAAACAAACATCAATAGTTATTCTATTAGGATAAATATAAACATTACAACTTAAAAAAATGTTTTGCCTTATGCTTGAATTATTATTCAGCTTAATGACCCCAACAAGTTAATGCACATCCCCAGCACACTTTTTGCTTCTCTCTTAGAATTTACAACGACTAAAACCAACTTCATTTTCAACAACGAACATTTCTTTCAGATAGATGGTTTAAGTATGGGCAATCCTGTTTCGTCCGTTCTTGCCAATATATTTATGACCCAGACCGAAACACAAGCCATACATTCTGCGCTTCATCCCCCCACTATACTGGTA